ACCACTACCACTACCACTACCACTACCACTACCACTACCACTACCACCACTACTACTACTACTACTACTACCACTACCACTACGACTACGACTACGACTACTACTACTACTACGACTACTACGACGACTACTACTACTACTACCACCACGACGACGACGACTACTCTACTACTCTACTACTCTACTACTAGTGCTCGGGCCCTGGAAGTTTCCCAGGTGAAATGATCTGAGTTGTATTATTAGTTGGGAACAGGTCTCCTGATGAAAGCAGTCGCTTCGGACAAAACAGTAAGACTTGGTGCTGAAGGACTTGTGCTATGTGCTGAATTACACAACAAGGTTGATGTCAACGTGGTTGTTTTGAAATGTCATGGTTGGGATCACTTGAAGTGAAGTAATTGTTATACCCTTGGACTTGAGCATGGCATCGCATGAATAGGAGGTGTATGGAGGTATCAATGTTTCTGACCTTGGAACGGAGCATCCTTAGCAGCAATGCTGTGTAACAGTCGAGGCATCCCAGATTCGACCAACATTGCCATAATGATGAACATGAATCATTCAGCCACTGCACGGGCCACATGCTGTGTTCATTCCCACCAAACCTCATGGATTCTGTGGGGAAAACGGTCTTCGCAGTGCTGTCAGCAGCAGTCCAATTCTGCGTGCATTTGCTTGCATGTGCTCTTTTGGGTTGTTCACCAGGCAAAAGAAAGACCTGGAGAAACATTTCGGATGGCTGGACAAAGACCAGAATGGCCTCTTGATTCCTGGCGAAATCCGGTTCCACCATTCGCGTCACAGAAATCAACCATGACAGGTGAGCAATTCTGGATAGACGTTCTTTTGCTCACAGACATGGACCTTTCCCGGTAGACGGCTAACAAGTTGGCTAACATTATCCACAGCCACAAGGTTTCAAGGTTTCAAAAATGATTTGCTTGCTGATGTCCCGCCAGTTTTTGCTTGCAACTTGCCGCTCCACTTAACGCATTTAAGGTGCTATCAACAATTCGACCACCCCGTTCGGATAATATTTGGGGCTGATGTTGCTTTGTCCATTTTGGCGTATGATTTGTTTTCCATAAACCTAACAGGCTTTGAGCATACTTTCTGTGACCCATTCGATGGGATTGAATTAAACAGAGATCGTTTACCGGTCCCACCGGTCTCCCAATTGTGCATTGGAGACCCTTTGTTCTGAAGGTTCCTTTTGTTTTGACAGGTTGAATGGTCATTGGATTGTTCCTTCATCAACAAATAACGTCAACACCAAGTGACTAGTCAGAGTGAGTCATAGATCCCTTGGTATGTGCGAAGTAGTGGCACTTGGGATCTGAAAATCAATTCAAGGCATTGAACATTGTGTTGGCTGCCCCAGCACGTAGCACAGGCAAAACAATGATCACTGGCATGACCCTCAATCACTGACATTTTTGACACAGTAAAAATATACTTGTTGCTCTTCTGTGCCACGTGCGCCAATAGCCTGTTGCCTGCGACTAGACATCATGCACGAATTATAAATGAAGTCCATTCGCATAGTAAGGTTTGAGCCAAAAAAGAGCCGAGCGTCAAGAACCTCCACCAGAACCTGGAGGAACCGCGAACGCTTCACAGAACCGCGAAGCGAACGCTTCCTGCCGAGGACTCTGCCGGAGCTTGCGAAGGCGCTACACTCTCCGAGCAGCGGACACTGGTTCCAAGCAGTGCGTGTGATTTTTGGTTAACCGACCTCCCCCTTCAAACAACAAGGATCATTTAGCGGTGTCAGATACTATGGGTTATGTGGGAACACTTAACTTGCAACACCATTTGAACTATGAAGATTGATTGAGTCATCTAATTTTATGTTTTCTTTGGAGCAGCACTGCTCCGAGATCCCCTTTGTGACGCTACGACAGTATGTCATGTGGCGGGATGGTGTTTTCTGCCGGTTCTTCCAGGTCGGTCATAATGCTCAACGATCCACAGACCTAGGATCTTCCAACGATGCATATTCATTCGGCCAACCTTTGGCTTTTGAAGTTCGACAGAACATATTTTGCGTAAAGATCCAGGTTCGTCAACGACACATCCAGGGTTAGGCCTTTTCTTTCGCCCGGTGCGAAAACCCCGGTTGCTGTCTGCCCAGGACTTGCGTGGCACGACAGCAACCGGGACGGAGCTGTGAGACGCTTTGGTTCGCACAAAGCGGTGAGACGTGGAAAAGGGAGCTGAGTCGGACTCAAATCTCTCCATGTTTGGATTGGAATCTATGGAAAAGCTTGAAGATGATTTGGAACATGAGAGGTTGAAAGGAGGCGAACATCTTATGAAGAAAACAACATGAAAAACACAAGAGACTTGAGATCATTATAGTCTTATTCAATTACGACTCCCAAACATCTAACATGGACCCGACTGGCACCCTGAGTCCAACTGTTTTCCTCTACCAACCAGTGGTTTTCAAGTGGGGCATGTAATGGCAGCCTCCAATCCTCATGAGAAAGCCATTTGAGACCGCTCAGTTTGAGGTCTAGAGGAGTTCCAAGATGGTTTCGCCTTTTGGCCGCTTGGCACCAGGAGTTTCCGCGCCCAGCGCGATCCCAGGTTTGGGAAGAAACAAGACATGGTCGTGCTCGTTTACGAGTGCATGCACTCGTAAACAAACCGAGTTGTGAATAACGAGTTCATGTGATGACCTCGTTGGGAATCATGCATCCAACTCCGCAGATATTTACCAGGCTACCGCCTGCAGCCGCCGACCCCCAAGGGATA